CTTCCTCCCGGAGACAATTTGTTTTCCCAATGCTTCAGCACGCTTCTGGTTAGCCAAAAATGAGCACTCTGATCATGTGGATAGCAAAGACTGTGTCAATTATACGCTAAATCATGCTATGATTATGGTTTAGTTTTATATGAGCCCAGCTAGTGTGGTTTGCAAGCTGTGATTTAAACGTGTGCTTCCATTTTTTTTTTAGTCAATCGTGATGAAACAAATTGGGTTAGGATGTGTTTAAAAAAAAGCATTTATATCTCAGTCTCTGTCATCTGAAGTAAGTTTCAGTTTCTGTGGAATATATGGCTAGCTTGCATTTTTAAATGGTTTCCTGGATCTTTCACTTAGTATACCTTCTGCAGTATTTGCACGTGAAAAATTTGCTCTCTAAAAGTTCACTCACCATTCAAGCCACAATACTGGTCTTGTACTTTTGTTACAGAAAAGAATAAGAGTCACTACATCAGTGGTTCTCAACCTGTGGGTCGGGACCCCATTTGGGGTCGATAAACCATTTCACGGGAGTCGCCAAGCAAGGCTGTCCGCCATTTTTTTTTGTCCACCATTTTTTTTGTCCACCATTTTTTTCCCCTTTTCCGGCAGATGCCTTACCTCCCTTGGGCTGGGCCAGCTGGTGGTCGGCCTGCTCCGTCTCTTGCCAGCTACACCTCGGCCGGCGCAGGGGGCAGAACCACGCATGCGCGTCGCTCCCGGGCAGGGAAAGTCCTCGACTTACGACCGGTTGGGTAGTCCTCGACTTATGACTGGCTTAGTCCTCGACTTACGACCAGTTTAGTCCTCGACTTACGACCGGTTTAGTCCTCGACTTACGACCGGTTGGGGTCGCGGCATTAAAAAGGTTGAGAACCACTGCACTACATAAATAAGCAGTAAGCAAGCTCCCAGGGGGAAGGCAGCAGGTAGATTGGGATCTAGCAATAGCACTTAGAGTCTTAGACTTTACAGCACTCTCTAAGGCTAAGCAGTTTACAAAATCAGCATGTTGCCTCAACAATTTGGCTCCTCATTTCACCGACTTCCTGAGGTTGGAATCTTGTGGAAAACGAAAGGACTCTTACGAATTCCAGAGGGTTTTAGCAGAGAGATTTATTGTGCAGGTTCAGAAGCAATAGCAATAAGCAATTCTGAACCCCGAGGGCGGGCTCAAACTTCAGTTTTATACTTTCCTTTTCTCAGGAACAAAGGAATACACATTGAAATACACATTGTAATACATTAGGTTCGTTTCTCACAGGTATACAATGGAGGGTTTGCTACATACGTTGTATCCATGTGCAATGCGCATTAGGTTAGTCACATATTACTGACACAGAATTTTCCTAGTGATTATGCATTATTCCTGACACATCATTATTCTAGTAATTATGCAGACAAATCATTATTTTAGTAATTGTTCATTATTCCACATTAGGAAGACTGAGTCAACCTTGAGCCGATCGGGATCGAAGGAATCGAACTACAATACTGCATTCTAAATACTGCACCACCACAGCTCATCTATTAGCATTTCACTGCATGTTATACAGTTGATCTGCAAGAGCTTCCAGCTGACCATTGCTGAACTGCCCCTGAATACCACCTGGAAGCTATGGGATCTAGTTTTATGTCGTCGTTACCAAGGACGCCGTAGGGATACATAGTGGAGACGAAGAGTTTGACGTAACCAACGGTCAACCCAAGGTTTATGTTAAGTCACAAGACCAATAATGGATATTTCGGCAGCACATACCATATCTCGTCTGTACAGTTTGTGTTCCGGGCCCCCGGCCTACGCCGGGTGCTTCACCAAAGATGTGGCCCACATCTTGGAAACAGTGAGGGAACGGCCCCAGCTGCCTTGACCCTGCCCCAGGCCGGCCAGGAGCCAATGTACAATTTTGTGGTGGCCATCTTGGCACTTGCCCTGGTGGACCATGCCTTGGCACTTGCCCCGTCCCACCCCCTTCTGCCAGAGACCCTCAGATCTGTCCCACTCCTGCCCAGGCCTCCACAGGCCCCCTTGACGCGAATGATGTAGAACTGGCCATGTGCACCCACTCGGGCCACACCCACTCTGGTTGCCCCCCAAGGGCAACCACAATGCTGATGCGGCCCTCAGTGAAATTGAGTTTGATACCCCTGGTATAGAGGCCTGGAGATCTGAGGGACCAATTGTTTCTGCCAACCTGGTTTCTTCTGGCAGAGTAGGTGTGCTCCAAATCTCCTTTATTAAATGTCATCCTGTGGGACTGAGAAAGCATGCCTCCCCTGTCACAACCCATACACACTGGTACAGCTTTCCCGCAAAGGTTAAGATGGCACCCTCTCTATAGAATTCAAGAAGGCCTTGAAAACCTGGTTTTGATGACAGGCCTGAGCTTAATGTAGTATTGTTTGGGGTGGGGGAGGTTTCTTTTTAATTTGTGTCATTTCTAAATCATTTTAGTCCAAACTATATTGTTTTATGTATCTGTTTTCATAGACTTTGCCTTAGTTTGTACACTGCCCAGAGTCCATTAGAACTATAATACATTTAAATGAACAGAAAAAGCTATAAAAAGGATCATTTTCTAAATTAAGCTATCAGACATTATTGATCATTGCAATGTACAACCTTGGGATGTAATGTATAGTCAGCTTTTCCTTCTGAACCACAATTTGTTCCCAGCTAGATCCAACCTTTGCTTTGCATATGAAGCAAATTAGTTATGGTTGTTTGGCTTTTGGTAAAAAAAAAAGTAAAACCCTAATGCTTGATGCTTGCCCAACTGTGGTGGAAAATTACAGATTCAGTGCCTCAGTCTCTTACTTTGATGGTCACAAACAGATGGACATTGCTTGAAAATGTCAACTTATCCTCATGCTAAATACCCTGGAGCTACAACCTAGTCCTGATAGTCTCCACTGGATAGACTCAAGCTATTGAATTGGTCATTTTGCCTTTTATTTTAAGTCTTCAATAAAGGCTACCAATTCTGGACTGCAAAAATCCAGACTATCTCTAAATAACAGCATAATTAGAATTTTGTGTTTGATTGCTACCACTTTTAGTGCTCATCAGGATTTTTGTAGCCCAGGTTGAGCAGTTTTATGGAGACTTTATTTCATGGAAGCAGAAGGCAAAGTGGAATTGGAGGCTCTTTTAGGAGACCTACCGGTATTTGTCGTGTGTTTAAAAATTCAAGTCAACTTGAACGTGTTTGATTCCTCTTCAAGTTCACTTTCCCCCCTTTTTAAATCACCAAATATGATTCATGCTAATAGGTGACTGATTACAAGTACTCTGAACTTATCAAAGGGGTGGGGAAGTCACACAGTATTGTTGATCACAGAGCAGTGTGCAAAGTGCTTAAACTTAGGAGCTTGTCCTTTAGCCCTTTCTGAGATGGAAAATCCGGTTTTGTGGTTAATAGCTGTACTTCCCTTTAAGTCTACACCCACAGCTTTGGTCTCCTGCACTACAGCACTCTCCTGTCACTTGAATCTACCTAACACCCTTCAGCCTGAACTTGGTTTGGATTACAAAAGCAGTCTATCATTCAAGTTGCCTTGCAGGGGCATTGACCGTTGTTTTCCTGTTGCTCTTTCTCTCCCCTTGCAAAAAAAGAAAAGGAAGAGAAACGTACCTCTCTACATCAGTCTCCTATGCACGTGGAGGAGAAAAAAAAAGGCCCTGCTCTTCCTGGAGGGTTAAAAAACAACTGAGAAAAATGGCTGCAGAAGATGAGAGAAATAGAAACCTCCTTCAGGAAGTTTGGAAGAGAAAAGAAAATGCCATATGTGCAGATTGCGGGCAGCCTGGTAAATAAAGGGGGAAATGGTGGTGGTAACAGGAAGTAATAACTAGCAAGGATAGCTCCTGGAAAAAAACAATTGCAGTAATTTAAAAGAAATTCAGATGGAGGAATTATACCTGGCACTTAGGACAAGGAAGAGATTGTTAATATTATCATATGATTTCTTAAATATGGAATGCTGTGTATGCTATATATTGTACATTAAATATTTTGTTCTGCTAAGGATTAAGGCTTCTGTAACTCTATGCAAACAGTAGCATCTAACACAGGAATGTGCTTGCTGTTTTCTCTCTGACTTTCCATTCAGTGATGAGAACCTATAGCAGTCCAGATGTTGCTGAACTACAATTCCAAATGGCCATCATGATTGGCCATGCTTCCTATGGGTGGTGGGATTCGAAGTTCAGCAACTAGCAGTAGTTAGGAAGGGAGATTGCTTCCACTGCCAAAAAACAAGAGTGAATTCCTTGGAAGATAGAAATGAAGAATTGTAGTACTACTATACGGAGATTGTTGAAGGACCAAGAAAGCACAAACTCACTGGACTTTATTTAAGAGAAGGACTACCATCCAGACAGAGGCAAATATTTGAAGGTATCCAATCTTTTGAGGTATTGGAGAAAAAGATTGGTTTACTATAGATTTTTTTTTTCAAATAGAGGAAATGGATGTAATTAAAAAAAAACAAACTTAAGCATTGATTGGGGGACTGTATCCTGAAGATGGCATGAACATTTGAGGTTTAACAAACCACTTGGGCTGCAGGGCTCTAAGAGATACTTGTATGGGTGGGCCTTTGAGGTGGAACTGATGCAGGCCACTGAGAGGCACATTTTTATTCAATATTTATTGTGATTTTTATTATTGCCTGTTCACCGCCCTGAGTCCCGTAAGGGAGATAGGGCGGTATATAAATTTAAATAATAAATAAATAAATAATAAAACAACAGGATATTATTTAATAAATCAACTGCATAAGGTATTCTTTGACCTTTGATATTATAAACTGAAACAGCAGGGCACAGCTGTTTAATCCTGTTTACATTGTTTACAGCCTGGGTAATCTGGATCAGAAAGAACAGAAATTTAACAGATCAGGCCTTTGATAGGACATGGAGTTAAAGCCTTTCCCAATACTCTGATATCGCTATATTTTTGCCAGGCCCTTACTGGAGTTCCCCTAAAGTGTAGGAGGCTGAGCTGGGATTTTGATTTATTTTGAAAGTATTTGCAGAGACTGGCCTCCTAAGAAAAAAATGCTTCAGGGGATTTATATTTTTATTTTGGATAGCACCAATCCCGTCCTTAAAACTACCCTAAAATAGAACAAAAAAGGAGGTTAAAAAATTCTCCCCTGCTGATTCTATAACATCACAGTATTGTGTGGCCTATACACATCCAAGCAGGACTCTGAGAAAGCCCCCAAAGAGGGTCCATTTTCAGTTCTTGACTGATAAATAACTTTGAGATACTAGGTTGAAGAAAGATGTTGCCAGTAACAATGACATATGAACAACAAGCAGCAGTGATAATTAACTGATGTCTATTTGGACCTTAAGGAACTTAGGCTCCCTACGATTTATTGTACTCAACCTCATAACAGTCAGTCCATAGCCATTGGTGTTCTTTGATTCTGTTCAGATCCTTGCTGGGTCTCCTGTACTTTGGGTATTTTCATCTGCTATGAGTGCTCAGAAATACACCACAAGATCCCTAATATAAGTGAAGTTAAGTCAATAAAGAATTGCTGGGAGGAAAGTCAGATACAGGTGAGTACTATCCTGAGAGGTTTCTTTCCCTGTTATTTGTTTTCGTCATGTAAACCATCTTTTCTCTCAAAAGCATTCAAGGAGGCAGATGTCAAGAGAGGGGAAATTATTATTTTTTCTTAAATTGCAGCAGCAGGGAAGGAATTATATGCCCAATTTTGAACAAAGAACAAACGGTATAAATTCCCAATTCAGTTTTAATTGCAGCAGATGAATTCTATTTATCCACAAGTAAGATACTTCTCAGATATGAGTGTTTGCTAGGAGAATACTATTCCTACAAGATCGGGGATATTGCTTTGCTGGCTTTCCAGCATGCCTGCTTCAGATTTTGGTTTCCTGTAGTTAAGGGAAAGAGTCAATAATCTGGACAGACTGACAGGTCAGGGCCATTTTCAGAAAATTGACTAACTTGAAAGACTGCTGAGGGCCACATGAAATTCTGCTCTTGCAGACACTCATGTCTTTGAGCAGCTTACTAAGCAAAAGGATGCAGTGGTGTAAGAATTCAGAAAAGTGTCCAACAAAAGGCCCTTCTCTCATTATTGATGAATTGGTGCTGTTAGTCCTTTGATGTAGGACAGGTCAAGAAACAGGTGCAGCAAAGATTTTAGGAGTCTATTTTATTGTAATAAGGTAGAATAACACTCTCTTGAAAGCCTGTCCAGGTTTCTCTCTGTCCCACATTTTCCTAAACAAAATTAAGGCATGGTTACTTTGAGGGTTTTTTTTTTCTTCCCTTTTTTGTGCTTTCTTGATTCCTGGCAACTGTCTGGATGTGTCCCTGCAGTTTTCTTGGCATGGTTTTTTGAAGTATTTTGTAATTGCCCCCTTCCTAGAGCCGAGACAGAGTGACTGTCCCAAGATCACCAAGGCAGGATAAGAATTTGCAGTATCATGGACCCCGGCTCTTTTATGACTCATGGACTTCAACTCCCAGAATTCCTGAGTCAGCATAGCTGACTCAGGAATTCTGGGAATTGAAGTCCATGAGTCATAAAAGAGCCGAGGTTGCCTATCCCTGCTGACTAGGCTAAACTGTGTTCTTTTTCAAGACTGTGTAATCATTTCTGCAAGCCTGCTCTTTAATGGTTTGCTTCTTTCTTCCAGAAGGTCAGGTCTGCATCCCTTTACAAGCGCTAATTGGCAGAGAGAAAGTTTTCTACAGAATATGAGGATTGAGGATGGTTGGAGTTTGATAACTGAGAGGTAGAAATACTACTAATGGAGATCATTTCTGTGCCAAGGGGGATGTCTTAGAGCATTTGCCTTTTCTTGCTTTACAGTTTCTGGCCCAGCATGGGAATGCACTGGCCAAAGCAACGTATGAGGCTCATATACCTGCTTATTATTACCACCCATTTTACAGCGACTGTCAGTAAGTGCTATAACTTTTGACTAGAGAAAGTATAGGAGATTGGGTGGTAGGCATTCTTGGACTTCTCTTACCTGCCTTATCACTTGTGGTGACATCTCGCAGAGTCCTCAGAGAGCAGTGGATACGAGCCAAGTATGAACGGAAGGAATTCCTGGAGCCAGAGAAAGAAGTTCTTTATTCCAATGGTAACAATTCTATGATGGAATTTCTTCCTTTATTTATATATTATGCAAATGTATATGCCTTTCATCTTAATCATATTAAAACTTGGGAAATAACCTTTCCAAACAGCATGTTGGAAGACCTGAGGCAAAGCCCAGTGGGAGCTGCTTATGTTGTATCAATCTCTCTATAATTTTCAGGGAGCTTAGTATACAGTAAAGCTCTGGCTCCAGATTTAAAAGGGGAAATTCCATCCAATGAAATTTCCTCCAAGTATACCACTAAAAGGATAAGATGGAATTGGTGGAATTTTCTCCCCTCCAATATGACTAGAATTACAGTACAGTAGTTCTTGTTAGACTATCAGGTTGTGGACAATCCATTCATTTGCTTTGTTAAAGGGAAGGAATTGCCTGCAGGTGGTTGGATATCCCTGATATATTCCTTTATAATATGTTATATTGAGGAAGTAGCCATGTATTTCAGGAAATACAAATTGCTAGTAATAGGGCAGTTCAATTTTGAGTTATTCCTGCATAGTATGGTTTGCATTTGTTCTTTGTTATTATACTTAGATGGTCTGCTCTCCGCTCTCCTTATTTTGAGACCTGGCAGCAAAATAAATAGCCTACAATGTGATACTGAAACACAGATAAAAATGATTATACAGAAACAATTTGCTTTAGGAAAAGCAAAGTCACTATTTGATGGAAGTGCAATTTTCTCTCCTAACATTAGTTCCGCCTATCTATGTCTAAAATACTAGGTCTTACATATTAAACCATATCCACAAGAAACATCACAACTGCAGAATGTCATTTAGTTTCTCATTTACCCAAAATGACACAGAAGGCCAATTCCATGGGAGAAGGCAGTTGCTTATGTTCCCGATGCTTAACCAAACAACTACTATCAGGCATACAGTTCACTTTTTAGAAACCTCTTCCTTCTAACAGGCCCACATTATTCATAAAAATGGTATTGCCAGTGCTATAGGTAATAATACCTCACTGTTGTCCAACATAGGAAGTGTCACAGTGTGACAACCTGCAAAAATGTAACAGGAAGAATTCTAGCTCTGTATTTGTGGTCTTTACGTGTTAGAAGATGTGAAATTATACCTCAAGTGTTTGAAGACTTTCTCATGAGGAGACAGGCAGAGCAAATTTAGAAATGAAAAATTAAACATTTTCTCCACATTCTTTACTGTAAAGTGTCCTCAGATAAACTGTTAGTGCTGAAGAAGATAATAAAAGCCCAGCCCTATGAAAAATATAAGCCAGTGGCACTGCCAGAGTTAAGACAAATGGCCTATAGGTTCCTCTTCATCTCCATTCTTCCTTTCCAAGGGAGGGTCAAGGGGTAGCCATCCAACAAAAAGGTAGGGGGAAGACTGGAGAGATCTCTGCAGCAGGAACCTGGTGCTTTCACAAAATGGGGTGGAAAAACCTTTCATCAGAACCTGCACTAGGGATCTGCTGCTAATCCTTTAGCTTGAAGAGTGCAATGCAGCTCCACATCTTGAGTTTCTTTTCTGACTTCAAAGAAGTGAAAAAAGATATATCTCCTACTGAACAAAAGGATGCTCCATCTCAGGTATTACCACTTGTACAAGCTCTTAAATAACTACAACTAAGGAATAGGAAGGAAAAAGGACTTCTTCCAAAGTAACAGTTTGGAGTGGAGAGTGAGGGGATTTGGCCTTGTTGAAGTTGAATCAATTTCACTCTTGATTCAAAAGATGAAGTAACATGATGAGGAATTGTAGATACACAACAATTTAGAATTACTGTATCTGGACTACCAAAAATAAAATGGCCAAAATGAGATAATAGTCATTTGAATTTTTGTAGCTGAAATATGGTAGGCCTAGTTACAGCTCCTACGAGCCTGGACAATATGGCCTGTAATTAGAAGTTATAAGATTATAACTCAAAATGTCTGGAAGTACCAAGCAAAGGAAAGTTTAGGCTAATTACATTTGCAGCAACAAATTTAGCCTTAATGTGGTTTTTGGGAATGTGGTTAAGCATGTTGCCAGAAGCCAGTTGTTGTAGTTTGTAACCTAGGGCAGGGCTTTTCAACCTTTTCACCAATTGTGCCACTTTTAGAATACGGCAATATTCAAGTACCACCAGTTGCTTAGCAAGGTGTCAAAAACTTGATGACCAAAAAAAAAAACAACCATGGAAAAAAGTGATAAAGTACAGGTAGTCCTCTCTCACCCCCTTTAATATATCTCTTCTCTCACCCTCTTTAATATCATCTCTTCCCTCACCCCCTTTAATATCATCTCTTCCCACACCCCCTTTAATATCATCTCTTCCCCCACCCCCTTTAATATCATCTCTTCTCTCCCCTTCAGCAGCACCCAGGCAATGCCTCTCGCAGCTCCAGCTGAATCTCTGCCTGAAGACTGCTCAAGGCTGCCTGCCACCCCCAATCAGCTGGAGCTGCATGCGCTGATCCTGGGCTCTCCGCAGGACCCAGGCAGGCAATGCCTCACGCAGCTCCAGCTGAATCTCTGCCTGAACACTGGGTGAGGCCGCCTGCCACCTCTAATCAGCTGGAGCTGTGTGCGCTGATCCTGGGCTCTCAGCAGGACCCAAGCAATGCGTCGCACAGCTTCCAGCTGAATCTCCACCCAAAGAATGTGTGAAGCTGCCTGCCGCCCCCAAGGCCGCCCCCAATCAGCTGGAGCTGCGCACTTTAATCCTGGGCTCTCAGTAGAACCCAGGCAACGTGCAGTTCCAGCTGACTTTCCCACAAGCCTGTGCGGCACTGCTGTCACCTCACCTCATCCACTTTTACACTTTTTTTTACATTTTTTTACAGTGCTGTTCAACCCCTTGTATGCGTACCACCTGCCAGGTGCCAACGTACCACTAGTGGTATGCGTACCACTGGTTGAAAAGCCCTGACCCAGGGTTTAGGATTTAATTTGATATTGATAATTTGATATACAGGTAATCCTCACTTAATGACCAGTTGCTTAGCAGCTGTTTGACATTCCGATGGACCCCAGAAAAGTTATTTATGACCTGGATTTGAATGGATTCTAATGTCTGCTCCTTGGTCATGTGATCACATTTTGGGCACTCGGCAACCAGCCTGCATTTATGGCTGTTTGCAGGATCCCGTGATCACATGACTGCAATATACAACTTTTTTTTTTTGCTGGAAACCAGTTTTTAATTCTGGTTGCTGGCAAAAAGCATCCATTGGGTACAATGGGCTTACTTTATAACTGCTGTTTTGCTTAACAAGTCTCCAAAAACAGTTGTAAAATTGGGTTGGTCATGTGAAGACCCACTTAATAATGGGGAGAACTTAGGATCATAATTCTGAGCTCAATTATAGCCATAAGTTGAGGACTACCTATTTGATCCTGCCGTTGTGACCTAGTGTGTCACAATTAAAAAGATTTAACACAGCCATACTCTGCAGCTTGTATTTCTTCTCCTAGGACTAAAGGAAGGGATCCTGTGGAAACAAGGCCGAGATAATCAGCTATATCAGCCACGCAGATTTCTTCTGTCTGAGAAAGAGAGATGTCTGAAATATTTCGTCAAACAGGATGTGCGTAACAATCAGCTTTTAAGTGACTCTTGTACACAGAGTACAGCCTTATTTAGGGTCAGAGAATCATTTGATTGTCTGGATGTCTCTACAGTTCCTTTTCTTTCTCACTATCAACTCAGCTTTCTGCAAGAATTAAATTTTTTAAGTTCATTGGGGATAGAAGGATCTTTCCTTTTTTTAAATGGATGAGGATAGAAGTGGAACTTTGTAGCCCTATGTCTACCCATTAATAGTGTACAAATAATAGCAAAACCACTTTCTTCTCAGGCAAAAGAACCCAAAACAGAAGTTAAAATTGACACTGTCAATGCCATGTTCCAGCCAGAAAAGATGAGGCATTCCAATGGCTTGCAGATCACTTATCTTAAACATAACAAGACTCGCAACATCTTTGTTTATCACGAGGATGGGAAGGTATGAGGATCTGGTGTATATGTTTATTGTACATCTATAGGAAATTATGGAAAAAGTCTGGAATATTGCTGCAGTCTTTAAATGGTACATTTAAGACCCTCACTAGAGCTGGGCCAGATCATTTCTACTTCTTGTTTTTCCCTCCTGTCTTTAACTCTTCCCTAGAAAAGACCTACTTGCAATGCAACAACTTTCTGTTCATCATGACCTTTTTTATTGCCAGTAAATATATCTGTGGTTGAAAGCCTAATAAGGAAATTCTCTTTAAATGAACCTTCTGCAAGCTTCTCCAGAGCATGGTTAAAATTTTGCAGAGTTCTATACCTAACATATCTAAAGAGTATTTTTTTTTCTTTTTCTCTTTTAATTCTTCTTTGAAAGCCTTTTCTTTGTGCCAGTAATTAATTTAAGAAACAGGAAGTATAGTTTGGTGCATATATATTACAACAAAACTCTATTCTAGTGTATACTTTGGTCTAGGAATTCCCTCTGGAAGTTCTGTATACCAATCAAATAAATTCCATAGAAGTAAACTGAGAATTGTTTCTGAGTAGATCACCTTAAGCTCAAGTTGCCAATCATATTTTAATAATTATTGTGCTTTTTCTCTTCCTAGGAAATTGTGGACTGGTTCAATACAATCCGTGCTATAAAATTCCACCACCTTAAAGTTGCCTTTCCTGGCGCTAGTGATGAGGAGGTAAGAATCTTGCAAAACTGGATAGCCTATTAACTAAACTATATTACAGCTGATCTGATTTCCTTGTGACATAATCAATCTAATTATTTTCAGATTTTTGGCTATCTCCATGCAATGGGATAATTATATGTCTCTGGACACATGCATGTTTTCTTCTCTGTCCAGCATGAATAGCTGGATAAAATACAAGTTCATTCAAATTTTTAATTGTTCAAAGTAACTAAGGCATTTTTACAGATCATCCTCATAAATTTTTTTTGCTGCAGCTGAAAATCCGGTTGACACGGAATTTCTTAAGAGAAGGTTATATGGAAAAAACTGGACCTAAGGTATAACTACTTATTACTTATTGCTACTTATTACTTTATTATTATTCATTATTGTACTTTGTTACCATACACCAAAAAAGAAGTTCCAATAGAACATAATATCTGTAGCTCAGGATTGAACTGTGGAGTCCTTGATGTGTCTGATCTTGGTTATTTACTTGCAGACATTTCATTACGCAACTGGATAACATCATCAGTGCTAGTGAGTACGGGAGTTGCTCCCTGCTTACGTATATATAGTAGCTTGCCCTACCAATGTTGGTGG